GGCAATGCAGGTAAACCACAATGTGTACAAGGGACGCTTGCTTCTAGAGTTAATCTAGATTGTAGTACCATTGACGGGTTACCCTGACTGGCTGTTTATCTATTTGCGCAGAAATCGTAACATCCCAGCGGCCACCGAGTACAGGTAACTTATCTGGTATCCATATTTCTGTATCAAGTTTTTTTGCTTTGGTTTTATAGTCTTTGCGTGGATCATTGGGGCGGTAATATTGTAGTGTTACATCGGTTATATGGCTTTGATATTGCTCTGATTTAATACTAATCTCTCCCTGATCATTAATCTTGACTTGGATACCTAATTTTTGTAGCCGTTTTCTCATTGTAATCGTTTGATCATAACGTAAACTGTCTTGATAGTACGATGAAGAGACTAAGGGAAACCCTTCTTTGCCTACGAGCCACACGACGTAAAGGTTAACACCAACAACAATAGCCAATCCCATTATAATTGCCATCCCCCAACGACGCCCAGCACGCCGAGCCTCTGGTGTTACTATTTGTTTTTTTGTGTTGTCAGTAGATGTTTTTTCTGTCATGGTTTTTTCCAGGAAAGATTGCCTGTCCTTCCAGCAGAACAGGATCCTTAACAAGTAGGTCTTGTACAACAAGTGTAAAGGGTGTTTTAGAAACTGTTTGTTTTTCTATTGCAATAAAAAGTTCAACGGAAGATAGTTTACCTGGTGGCAATACCAATGGGTTTTGTGCGGTCAGTAGCTGTAGTTGATGTTTGTTCCTAAGTTTGAAGGTAACTACACGCGGTTTTTGCGATTTGTTTGTCAACTGTAGACGAAAATGATTTGCAAATGCTCCCGATGGTAATACTTGGTAGATATCTCCTGGAGGGCGTAGTAATGTTGCATCGACAAGCCGTCGTTGCATCAGCAGTGTACTAAATAAAATAATAGATAGTATTAGTAAAACTCCATACAAAATGCTGCGTCCATATGGTCGTTTACTTAAATCGCCATCAAGTTCTGCTTCAGAGGCATAACGAACTAATCCTGTCGGTTTATTTAACTTACTCATTACACTATCACAAGCATCGATACAGGCAGCGCAATGGATACACTCTAGTTGTAATCCATCACGAATATCAATTCCCTGGGGACAAACGACAACACATTTACGACAATCGACGCAATCACCAAAATGTTGAGATGATTTTCTTGCCAGTGCATTACCGCGTGTTTCGCCACGTCGTTGATCATAAGCAACGATCATACTATGACGATCAAGTAGAGTCGATTGAAAACGGGCATAAGGACATATATAGTTGCAAAAGTGTTCACGCAAAAATGCAAAATCGATATAAAATACGAACGTAATAAAAGCAACAAATGTCATCTGTGTTGCATAGGCTGGACTAGGATGTAAAATTTCTTGAATCAGTACACGTATATCTACAAAATACGCTAAACAAATATGGGCGATACCTGTCGAAAACATTAAGAAAAGGCTATGTTTTAAGATTTTTTTACGTAGCTTTTCTCCATTCCAAGGTTGCCGGTCTAACTTTATTTGCTGGTTCCTGTTTCCTTCTATTAAACGTTCAATTTTTAAGAAAACCTGAGTTAGATAAACCGATTGAGGACAGGTATAACCACACCACGCTCGCCCTACTAATGTCGTGACAAGCAAGATAAGCATAATAAAGGCCAACACTAAGAAAAAAACTAGCCAGGTATCTTCTGGCCAAAAAATTTGTCCAAGCAAAATAAACCGACGATGAGGGATGTCAAACAAGATTGCTGGCATCCCATTGATACGAATTAATGGGATCAGTACCAAAATAGACATTAGAATAATACCTATTTTGGTGCGTGCCTTTGTAAAACGACCTAATATTTTTTGCGGATATACCCAATGTCGCTCGTCAATATCTGGAACAATCCGTTTAATCGTCGCGATCGGTATAAAACTCATGACGTACCTATGAATAAGATTTTTTGGGCTGGAATACTAAGAGCCTTCTCTCAATTCATAAACAAATTGTGCTAATTGCTGGACTGTTTCTTTACCTAAAGATGACCATGGTGGCATTCCTTTTACAGGCACACCTTGCCAAATCACAGTTTCAATATCTTTAACCGTACCGGTACCACTATTCCATTGTGAATCGGTCAAATCGACACCTGGAAGACCTTCGCCTTTACCGTTTCCGCCGTGACAGGCTGCACAGACAGATGCAAATGTTTGTGCAGCTACTGCTCTTGCACTGTTTTGAGGCTGAGCCTCCTGATCTTTACTTTGTTCTTCATCTTTTGCTGCTTGCTTAGATGTCTCTACACCAAAAATATCATTGCCGTGGCTTAAGCTGTAGATAAATGCTGATACTTGATGTACTTTCTGGTCACCTAGGTGACCCCATGGTGGCATTCCTTTATCAACAATCCCTTCTTTTACAAAATGAACGATACTTTTTAAACTACCATCTCCATTACGCCAGGTTTCATCTTTCAAATTTGGACCGACTAAACCTTCGGCTTGATTACCATGACAAGAGGCGCAGGTACTTGCAAAAACTTGCTGGCCTGCGGTAATTGCTTTTTGGTCCTCTGCAAGTAGTTGAAAATTGACCTTTGTTTTTTGAGCATCAAGCTGGGTACGTAATGTTTTATAAGCTGTAAGTTCTTGCTGATATGCCTCTTTTGGTAATGTTCCTATATCAAACCAGTGATAATAAAAGGCGTATGCCACCGCAAAAATTATTGTTCCGACAAAAAGAAAGCTCATCCATAAGGGAATTGGATTATCATACTCTTGAATCCCATCGAATTGGTGATCCATTAACTGATCTTTATGTTGCTCCTCTGCCTGAGATGTTTGGTGATTATTAGAAGTCACTTACGTACCTCCTTGACGAAAAAGTCTTTCTCGTCCTCTTCTAGGGGTAAATACTTAAATTTTTCTAGATCGACACCCTGGTTTTTGCGAAAAACAATACAGGTTATGCCCGTACCACCATTGCACCATCGCGTCCTGGACACCTGGAAAAATAGAGAGACTATGTGTCCAATCAATTGGTATCGCAAGATTATTGACAATATGCAAAACAGCGATAGTAACAACAGTTGCAATATAAAACCAATTAGCTACGTAAATATGACGAATACGACGTCTGGCAATCATCCAAAAGACATTGATCGCAAATATGACCCAAACAATGGTAATTAATACATCAATAACCCAACCAGGTTCAGCATATTCTTTACCCTGACTGTGCCCTGTAATTAGATATAAGACATCTAAAACAATAATTAGCTGCCAACCCCAAAAATGAAGTTTTGCTAGTTTATTGCTAGGTAAGCGAACCTTCAATAGACGCTGCATCGAGTGATAGACAGCAGCAAAAATAGCATTGGCAGCAAATGCAAAAATAACACCATTGGTATGGATTGGGCGTAGGCGACCAAAAGATAAGTATTCGATACCACCGTTGAGTTGCCACCAAGCTAATTCAGCAGCAATGTAGACACCGGCAAGCATGCCGATGACTCCCCAAAAAATTGAAACCCCCACAAATTTACGGACGATATCATCGTTATAGTGAATCTCAATAGTTTGATTCATGTCGTCAATGAGCCCTTTCTCGGAACAAATTTAAAAATTTGGTTTTAGTTTACATAATGTATTGCATAAAAAAAATGATTTTGATCAATGAATACATAGATTTAGTTTCTTAGAATATAGTGTTTTGCTAAAACGTTAAGAGACTTTAATCAGATTTTAGGAGTTGAAATGGATATTAATCCAGATATCACACTAATTGGTGCGTTTATGCTAGGTATTATTGGGGGTAGTTCCCATTGTACCGCAATGTGTGGTGGTATCGTGATGGCAGCTAACCGTATTCATGGCAAGCAGCTCCTCTTTCAAACTGGCCGAGCGTGTATGTATACGCTATTAGCAGCTATCTTTGCGATACTTGGAGATATACTGACGGTAACTTATCTAACACAAGGACGTAAAGTATGGCAGGGGGTCATGGGTATCTTGTTGATTTTGTTTGCTGTCTCACATGTGTGGGGCATACCAGTAGGACAGCGCTTAGGTCATTGGCTTATACCTAGGTTATCAACGTATTTAAAACGCACTCGCAATAATAGCTTTCAGCACATATTGGCAGGAATGGCTTGGGGATTTATTCCTTGTATGCTTAGTTGGCCACTGATTATTGCCGCTGGGGCAAATCCACTTCCTCTTGCAGTAGCAATTACGATTATTTTTTCACTAGGGACAATGATTCCCCTAAGTAGCCTGATTTGGATAGATCGTCTGTTATCTATCCGGTCAAAAATTCTTTGGCATAAAATCTCTGGTATTATTTTGATCTGCTATGGTTTATTTTTACTTATCTCGTCACTATCTTTGACACATAGTTTGCACCACCTACATCACTAGTAACCTATAGCAACTTTAAATAAGCCTAGTTTTTTTTATCCTCGGACTAAGCGTACAGCAACATAAACTAAAATAATTCCTATCACAAAATTAAGACGTCCTAGCCAAGATGCCCATTTACGATAACGGTGAGTCTCTTGTGTATTAGGGTCTTTAAGCAAGCTTTTAATTGCTATAGGACCAATTACAAAATCATGAATAGCACTTAATAAGACAATCATCAGAAATAGTATGATTTTAAGTTGCCCCCACTCTTGCACTCCAGCTACTTCTGCTCGAGAAAATAAAATTGTCTCTGGCGTTAGACCTCGGTAATAAAAATTAATGAACCCCGTTACTAATAAAATTAAGAATACAAACCAATTGATATTTCGAAATCTTATGCCTACTTTTTGCAGTAATTTTATTCGTTGTTCTGTTGATAAAATTTGTTGCCCTACAGGTAAAAACACAAAGACGAAAAATGCCATTCCACCTAGCCAAAAACACGCACTAAGGATATGAATAAGTACGGAATATTGATAGATTATCGTATTACTCATTCCATCAGAACTCTTTGATGAAGTTTGGCTTTATCTGCTAGCAGACGGCATTTTGCTGCTGGCCTTCACCTCTTAATCGATAACAAAGCCGAATTTTACGCCCTTCGATTTTTATTTTTCCTTCTTGCTCTAACTGTTTTAGCATACGAACGGTTGTTTCTATTGTAAGTCCAGCACGTTCTGCTAATACTTGACGGCGGACAACTATTAAAGGGTACGCGGAACTCGGATCATAACGATCTGCTTCATCATTGAATTCATCAAGTGCTTGGATAATTCGTTCTTTTGCAAAACGGTATGCAATCGTACTTGCTCGTTCCTCTGCATCAAGTAAATCCCCCGCTAATCTACGTAATAATTTTTGTGCAAAAACAGGATCAGTATCCAAAAATTCTTGTACTAAGTCTGCATCTAAATGTGCAACAAGTGCATCATCTAAGGATTCTGTAAAATCTCGATGTGTATCACCGTTGATAAAATCACGATGCCCAATAATATCTCCAGGTCCAGCTATAGCTGTAATTAATGCTTTGCCTTCGTTGGTTAATAAATAGGTTTTGACACGGCCAGAGCAAACAGCCCAAAGACCCTGAGGTTTATCACCAGCATGATATAAAATTTCACCACGTTTGAGTTCTAAGGTACGGCGACGCTGTATTAATTTTTCAATTGACGGCTCTGATAAAGAATGTCGCATAAAACAGGTGGAAAAACCAGAGCAAAATGTACAATTTAGCGATGTACACGGACGAGGCATACGCTAATTCCTCTACTGATATTATACTTATTAATTCAATTATAAGTATTTATTTACTACATATCAGTTTAGCAGTTGCAACAGAGCTCTACATCATAATCTTATTGTAGTCAGATTAAAAGTTTGGATAGTTGTTTAGTAATAATATATTTATATATTTTAAAATCTAGACTGCTTTGGAAAATGTATTCCATTGGTCGTGTTTACGATGGCGATCAAAAACCACAGCGATATTACGACTAAAATGCCGCCCGTTTTCTGTTAAGCGTATCGCATCCTGATCTATAGTTAATAAATCCAATTGAACAGCATCCTGTAAATGCACCATTTCATTTGGAAACAGAACGTCAATCGTATTACCCGCCTGAGCCTCAAATTCTGAGAATTTGAGTTCAAAGTTACACATTAAGGTTTGAATGATCCATTCTCTTAATTGATCATCTTGGTCAACAACCAGACCTTTTTCTATCGGTAGCTCTTGACGACTCAAATATTTTGTATATTGCGAAAGGCTTCGAACATTCTGGGCAAAGACGTTACCAACTTTACTAATTGCGGAGATTCCACATCCAATTAAATGAGTTGAACGCTTGACAGCATAACCTTGAAAACTACGGTACAAGTTTCCTGCGGCTTGTGCTTTACTTAAGGAATCCTGCTCAAGAGCAAAATGATCCATTCCGATATGACGATATCCAGCATGTGTTAGTTTCTCAATTGCTAGCAGATAAAGCTCAAATTTTTCCTCTAATGATGGAAATTTATTTACTGGTAAGCGACTCTGATGTGGTTTGATTTGGGGCACGTACGCAAAGTTATATACCGCAACACGGTCTGGTTTTAACTCGACAACAAGGTCAAGTGTCCGTGCAAAAGAAGCTAAATTTTGATGGGGCAAACCATAAATGAGATCAAAGTTAATACCTTTCGGATTTGTTCTACGGAAGGCTTCATTAACTTTTCTAACTAGTTGAAATGGCTGGACACGGTTAATTGCTTGCTGTACTTGTTTATCAAAGTCTTGGATACCAAGACTATAACGATTAAAACCAAGCTTTGACAATAGTTGTTCTGTACCATCAGTAAATATTCGAGGGTCAACTTCAATCGCAAATTCGGCAGCTCTATCGATTGAAAATTGGTCTGTTATGGTTCCAATTAACTGCTCAAGTTGAATATCATTGAGAAAATTAGGGGTACCGCCCCCAAAATGCAACTGTGTTAAGACCCTCTTCTTACCAACAGCTTTACTAATTAATTTGATTTCTTGTTCTAAAGCATCTACATAGGGTGAGATATCTTTACTACTTTGGCGTATAGCCATTGTACAACCACAATACCAACAAAGCGTCTGACAGAAAGGGAGATGAACATAAAGAGAAAACGTTTCTTGCTGCTCTCTCTGACACTGAGTTAAAGCTTTACGATATATATTTGTATCAAAATCATCTTGAAATTCGACCGCTGTTGGATAACTCGTATAACGTGGCACACGACGATTAAGATTGTTTAAAAGCTCTGGATTAATTTCGAGATCGGCCATGTAACAAATTTCATCTATATTTCTATCTGTTTAGACTACGTAAATAAATCGCAGCAAAAATTGATTTTGGTCAATGTTTCACTAGAACACGTTCTATTACTATCTAATTTAAGGATTCTTAATCAATGGTCTACCTTACCTAAATGGCCATAGTCTGTGTAGGAGGATTCAATGGAATTAGTCGACATCAATATCTTTAATTTAGATTACTATCGAGACTATGGGATTCCTCATAATCAGTTTAAATTATTACGTAAAATAGACCCTGTTCATTGGCAAGAAGAAGAACAGGACCCAGATCGTCCAGAAATTTCTCCTACTGGCTATTGGGCAATTACTAGGCATGAAGATATAAAACAAATCTCACGAGATCCAGCTACCTTTTCATCAAATGTAGCTGGTACCAATATCAAAAATTATACACTCAAAGAACAAGCTGTTTTAAAACGGATGATTATTAATCTTGACCCACCTGAACATGTACAACTAAGGCGTCTTGTCAAAGGTGGCTTCACACCCAGAATGATACAGAAACTGGAGCCACGTATAAAACGGGTATGCAGAGATGTTTTTGATAGCGTTATTGAAAAAGGTAACTGTGAATTTGTTAAAGAAGTTACCTCGGAAATTCCGCTGATTATCTTATGTGACTTAATGGGGGTCCCTCAAGCTGACCGCAGAAAAATCTATGATTGGAGTAATCAACTAATCGGTTTTGACGATCCAGAAAATCCAACGCACCCGGATGAAGCACTTGCCGTATCTATGGAGCTTTGGCGATATGCTAATAACTTAGGTAATGAACGGCGAAAATGCCCAATGGATGATATTACAAGTATCTTAGTCCATGCTGAAATTGAGGGAAATCGTTTAAGTCAACTCGATTATGATATTTTTTTCTTGTTACTGTCTGTTGCAGGTAATGAAACCACGCGGACAGCAATGACTCAAGGGACAATTGCCCTGTTAGAGCACCCAGCTCAATGGGATCTTTTAAAATCAAACCCTGAGCTCTATATTGATAGTGCTGTTGAAGAAATTCTACGTTGGGTCACTCCAATTATCCACTTCCGCCGTACCGCAACAAAGGATATTGAGCTCCGCGGTAAAACAATCAAAGAAGGTGATAAGGTTGTCCTCTACTACCCTTCGGCAAATCGTGATGAAGATGTTTTTACTGATCCTGATGTTTTTGATATCACAAGAAAACATAATCCTCATTTGACCTTTGGAGATGGTGAACATTTCTGTTTAGGTTCTGTACTTGCGCGCTATGAGCTAAAGCATTTCTTTTGGGAATTAGCTACGAGAATGCCTGATATTTCACTTGCTGGCCCCTATCTAAGATTACGCTCGAATTTTGTCAATGGTATTAAGAGTATGCCTGTTAACTTTACACCAGGCGTTAAAATTGGCTGGGATTCTGCAGACGATGATAGTGGTAGTTGGACGCTACAAAAGTAGAAGCATTTTTAAATTTATAATTTAACATCAACATATTCAGGTATTTAGGAGTAAATAATGACAAATACCCGTTACCCATTTACGAGTAGCCCCAAAGGGTGGTACATGGTTGCCTTTAGTGATGAAATTGGTCCTGGTGAGGTAAAAGCCGTCACATATTTTGAAAAAGACTTAGTCTTATTTCGTGATGAAGAAGGCACGATTCATATGTTAAATGCTTATTGTCCACATGGGTGCTCATTTAGCTAAAGGTAAAATTCACGGCGGCGTAAGGATTAAAAACGGTACGATTGTTTGCCCTTTTCACCAATGGCAGTTTGATGGCAATGGCAATTGTAAACATATTCCCTATGCAGAAAAGATTCCCCCAAAAGCGAAAATTCCCAGTTGGTATGTTGTTGAGAAGAATCGCATGGTAATGGCTTGGAATGACATCGAAGGTTCGGCTCCAGAATGGGACCTACCTGACATTCCTGAAGTTGAAGACGATGAATGGACTGATTATGAAGTTCGTGAATGGAGAATTCGTACACATAATCTGGATATGGCTGAAAACCAAGTTGATGTCGCTCATTTTCAATACCTTCATGGTACTCAGGACTATCCACGTAGTGAGGCAGAAGCAGATGGCCATATCTTACGTGTATCCTCTAAAGCGGGTATGGGCACTCCTCGCGGCGATGTTGAGGGTGGTATTGTTTCGACCTCCTATGGATTTGGGTTCTCAACAATACGTTTTTCAGGAATTGTTGACACGATGCTTGTTACTTCGACAACACCGGTTGACGGTGAATATGTGCATACACGTTTCTGTTTTATGATCAAAAAATTAGGTGGCTCTGACGTTACAAAAGGTGTTGGGAAAGCATTCATTCGTGAAGTTACTCGTCAGCTAGAAGAAGATATGCCTGTTTGGGAAAACAAAGTATTTGTTCATCCACCTGTTTTATGTGAAGGAGATGGACCTGTTGGTATTTTTCGTAAATGGTTGAAACAGTTTTTTCCTGCTGGAACCTTTGACAAACTCAATATCCAAGCCAACTCATATGGTGCACAACAACCACCAACACATCAATCAGATTATATGAAACATGATCATACAGAACCTAACATAGCTAAATCTTAAACTCTTTTCTAACGAGGTAAAACGACATGGGACGCAACCTTGAGAAACGTCAACATCTCTTTAATGGTTACCCTAGAGGCTGGTTTGTCCTTGCCTTCTCAGAGGAATTAGATGTTGGAGATATTAAAAAAATTACCTGCTTTGGGCAAACGCTTGTTCTTTATCGAGGCGAAGACAGGATTGTCCGAGCAATGGATGCTTATTGTCCTCACCTTGGTGGTGGTTTAGTTAAAGGAAAAGTTATCGGTAATAGTATCGAATGCCCTTTTCATGCTTGGCGGTTTGGACCAGATGGCAAATGCAACCATATTCCTTACGCCAGTAGTATTCCACCAAAAGCAGTCATCAATACCTGGTTAATTCAAGAAGTCAATCATATTATTTATTTGTGGCATGACCCAGCTGGGGGTGAACCAGATTTCGAGATCCCTTTGTTACCAGAGAGTGAAGATGAACATTGGACAACCTGGGAATATGCACAACTAGAAATTGAAACACACCCCCATGAACTTGTTGAAAATGTTGTTGATATTGGACATTTTTCACCGGTACATCGTACACAAGTTGAAAAATTTGAAAATGAATTTAAGGGTCATATGGCAATTCAACGTAACGAAGGTGTTGCCTACCCTCTTGGTGGAGGCATTGACAACTATAGTATTGAGGCTACTTACTATGGTCCAGGATTTCAGATTTCTAAATGGAATGGTTTTATGGAAGCACGGCTTATTAATGCTAATACGATGATTGACACCAATAAAATGATACTTCGCTTTGGGGTCATGCTAAAAAAAGGTAATGATTTACGACAAACTGTAGCCTTTCAAAAAGGCTATATCGAAAACTTAAGTAAGGGCTTTCAGGAAGATGTTGATATTTGGTTAGAAAAAAAGTTTGTTGAAAAGCCAATCCTATGTGACGGCGATGGCCCACTGATGAGATTACGCAAATGGTATTCGCAATTTTTTGTTCCGCGAGAGGAGACAAAACAGTTACCATTTGATGGTAAAGTTTTAGAAACTGATGTTCTTCAGCCTGCTGGATAACGTTATGTCGACAACTACATCTGACGCGATGATACATAAAAACTTATTAGACCAGGCAGAACAGCTTTACCCACAACTTCTTGAACGGATAACAGAAACAAAAGTCCAACGGAAACTCCCAGATGATACAATTCAAGCCTTGCAGCAAGCTGGCTTCTTTCGTGCTTTTCAACCAAAACACTGGGGAGGGTTAGAACTTGAACCAATCGTATTTTTTGAGATAGCACGAACCATTGCATCGGCTTGTCCAGCAAGTGCTTGGGTTCTTGGTGTTGTCTCAATTCATAGTTGGCAGTTAGCTCTTTTTGATTATCAAGCTCAGGCCGATGTTTGGTCGGAAGACTCTAGCACGTTAATCTCGTCATCGTATATGCCTGTTGGTAAAGTTACCCGTGTTCCAGATGGTTTTAAACTCAGTGGAGAATGGGGGTTTTCTAGTGGTGTTGATCATTGTGACTGGGTTTTTCTTGGTGCTTTTGTTCCTCAAGAAGATGGCACTCCCTGGCAAAAAGATCTGCGTACTTTTTTAGTCCCCAAATGTGAGATTGAAATTATTGATGATTGGTACGTCTCAGGTCTACAGGGTACAGGTAGTAAATCTGTACGTGTTACTGACGTTTTTGTACCAGAGTATCGCACACACAAATTCAGTGATGGCTTCAAACAAGATAGCCCTGGTAATAAAAAGCATACGGCACCTTTATTCAGGCTGCCTTTTGGCCAAATGTTTGTCAGAACTGTTGCATCTGGAGGCATCGGTATGTTAACTGGGGCTCTACGAGAGTTTATCGCGTCACAAAAGGCACGTACCTCCCGTGCCGCAGGCGTCCGTGTTTCCCAAACACCTCAAGCTCAGCATGCCGTGGCACAAGCTACGACCACCTTAAAAGAACTCAAATTAGTTTTTTATGATCAACTTGAAGCAATGATGACCTATGCCCGAAATGGTGATCAGGTTCCATTAATAGAACGTATTCAATGGCGTTATGAAGCGTCCCTTGTTGGCCCAAAGTGTATTCAAGCTATTGATGATTTATTCAAAGCAAGTGGTGGCAGCGCGATTTACGAGACGAACCCGATTCAACGTTTTTTTAATGATATCCATGCGGCAGAAGCACATTATGTTAATAACCCTTATAAACCAGGCTGTAATTTAGGCGGTTTCTTAATGGGAGCCGAAAATACAGATTTTTTTATCTAAGGTGATAGAGCTATGAATGGTATTACACAACTTGGTTATATCGGTTTTGAGGTTAGTAATCTTCCGGCCTGGAAACAATTTACAACTTTAGTTTTAGGACTGGAGCTTTCAGAACAATTTGATAATGGTGGTTTTTCATTACGTATGGACAGTCATCAGCACCGTTTTTTTATTACGCCTGGCTCTGCTGATGATTTGGTATTACTCGGTTTTCAAGTCGATAGTCAACAAGAACTTGAAAGGTTACAAAAATGCTTAACAGCGTCTAATATTCATTATACTCATGGCAGTCCCGAGGAAGTTGCCCATCGGGGTGTCAAAGGCCTTATCAAACTAATTGAACCAGGTGGTGTTGCGGTAGAGGTTTACTATGGCCCAACAACGCTAAAAACAGAATTTGTTTCTGATCTCGTTACTTCAGGTTTTGTTGCAGAAACCTATGGTTTAGGTCACGTTGCATTACGGGCAACCAATCTTACGGAAACTGAACATTTTTTTTGTCAGATATTAGGTTTTAAACTCAGCGATCGTATTATTTGTAATCTTGGCGGTTTTGATATTAACATTACGTTTCTGCATGTTAACCCTCGGCATCACTCTATTGCCTTTGGTACCGGATTACCAAAACATATTCACCATTTTATGCTACAAACGAGATCTATTGATGATGTCGGAGCAGCAATGGACCGTACTGCAAAATATGGCTTAAAAATACAAAAGACGCTTGGACGTCACCCAAATGACAAAATGCTAACTTTTTATGGAGAGACACCTTCTGGATTTGAATTTGAGTTTGGCACAGGAGGTTTAAGTATCGACGAACAGAGCTGGATACAAAAAACACATCGCCTTGTTAGTGAATGGGGTCATCAACCACCAACATTCTATTTGACATAAATTATTGTTAGAAATGAATACTTTTTTCTACCAATAGCTTGTTCATTTAATTCTATAATTTATGTCAAATATATTGCCCTCCGCTATATTATCGATCATATTTTATCTTACAATATTCTGATAGATTATAGACCTACGCCGCGTGGTTTTCGTTCTCGGTGTTATCCAAATCCTGCATACGCCATTGTGGGAACGGGTCGGGAAAGAGACGCCAGCCATTAGGGCCTACTGCCATCTCTTCTTCTGTCAGCAAACAGGTATCGAGACGTCGCGTTAGATCTGCTTGATCCATATCCATACCGATTAAAACAAGCTGCTGTCTTCTGTCGCCAAAAGGCTCTACAAACATAGCCTTGATCATCTCAACGTATTCTTTTTCTGTTGGCCACTCGGTGCGGTCTACGGATGCCCACCATACGCCAGCGAGTTCGCTGTTGCAGGCAGCACCTGCTTGTGACCAAGCACCTACAAAATCAAATCGTGTTGCCAGCCAAAAAAAACCTTTGGAACGAACAACACCTGGCCATTCTTCATTGATCAACTGGTAGAATCGCTGGGGATGAAATGGACGCCGGGCTTCGTAAACAAAACTGGAAATCCCGTACTCTTCGGTTTCGGGGATGTGATTGCCTTCCAATTCTTGAATCCAGCCGGGAGCCTCCATAGCTAATTCCATATCAAATAAGCCAGTATTGAGCACATCATCTAGCTGCACCTGGCCGTAGGAACTGCGGATGAATCTAGCTTTGGTATTGAGCGCTCCAAGTAAAGACTCCAATTTGTCTAAATCTGATTCCAAAACAAGATCAGCCTTGTTCAGAACAATCACGTCTGCAAATTCGATCTGGTCGGTAAGCAAGTCAACAATGGTCCGGTTATCTTCTTCGCCCAGTTCCATTTTACGAGCCTTTAAATTATCTACGGTACTGAAGTCACGAATAAAATTGAATGCATCGACAACGGTAACCATCGTATCTAACTGCGTTAGGTCTTCAAGACTGTTCCCCTCCTCGTCACGAAACGTAAATGTTTGTGCCACAGGTAGTGGTTCAGAAATACCTGTCGATTCAATCAACAGATAGTCAAAACGGCCCGCCAGTGCGAGTTCGGAGACCTCTTCGAGTAAGTCGTCCCGTAAGGTACAACAAATGCAGCCATTGGACATCTCTACCAATTTTTCTTCCGTACGACTGAGTTGAGCGTCTCCGCGCTCGACCAGTTGGGAATCGATATTAACTTCGCTCATATCGTTGACGATGACGGCGACTTTTTTTCCTTCTCGATTGTTGAGTACGTGATTGAGTAACGTTGTTTTGCCGGCACCGAGAAAACCAGATAGGACTGTGACAGGCAGTCTTTTAGGTAGTGTTG